GATGATTGTTTGATGATAGTTTGATGATTGTTTGATGACAGTTTGATAGTTTGATGGTAGTTTGATGATTGTTCGTTGATAGTTTGATGATTGTTTGATGATTGTCAGTTGGTTTGTTTTTTATTTAAGGGCTGCCGCCCCTGCCGCCGACCCCGGAAGAATTGGCAAGCCGTCAGAACGTATATATGGTACAGGCCTGCACCCCCCCCAAAAAAAAAATGGGGAAAGGATGTTCCTGGGACAGTTTTACACGCATTGTTGCCTGTTATGGTTTTTATGTTAAAGGGGAACGTGCGTTCCTTGGTGTTGATGTTTTTTGTGATGTATGTTGTAAGACATTTTTGGTAAAAACGTTTCATCCTAACCTTGTTGATTATTTTAGGGGAGTATCATTGATTGGGTCAGGATTTGTTGAGGTTGTTAGGGTTTTAAAGTTTTCATTTATTCAACTAAGATTTGAAAAGAAGGGAATGTATCATTAAGATTGTCTATTATTTCTTGATGACTTAACGGTTCTGTCACTTCTTCATTGTTTGATTGTTTTTGTGTTTTTCCATTATCTTTTTGTTTTTGACCGGAATTGTTGGTTTGTGCTCATGGTTTTTTCTTTCCATTTCTTTTTAGGATGGTGTGTCTGACCACCCTTGCGTGAGTCGTAGGCTTCGCAAGGAAAAAGGCACATCGTAATAATTGGGTTTGTGAAATGGAAAGAAAAAAACATGGGCCCAAGTCAGCAGCATCAGCAGCATCATTAGCTTCAGCATCAGAATATATATATATATATATATTGTTATCACTGTTACAATTAAATTATTATCAGTATTTAGTAGATGAATTTGGTGAAAACATGGGGGGTTTTGATCTTGTGATCGTCCTGGTGGTAGCTACAGGCAAAAAGAATTTAAGGTACTGTATCACATCATCCTATTTGAGTTGGCATGTTTGTTAACTTACCCATTTTTCAGGTTCAGCATGGGGTTCATCCCGGTATGGTGTTGGTGCATCCCAGCTCGTAGCAGCAGTGTTTCCCATGGTTTTGCAGCGCTTGTCTTGGCGATGGACTGCTTCGCCCTCTACTCGAAGGAGGGCCGGGTGAGCGGTGGATTTTGAACGGCAAGATGTGTGATTTTTTGCGAAGCAAAATGGGGAATAAACAGAGATACGATGATCTGGTTGGTGCGTTGGAACATGAATTTTATTTTCCATATATTGGGAATTTTACAACCCCAACTGACGAAGTCATATTTTTCAGAGGGGTAGGTATACTACCAACCAGTGATATTTAATGGCATATATCCAGATAAAAAAAATATAAACCCACTTGGAGGTTTTAATGGAACAAAACATCTATAACAGGGGGATGTTCAATTGCCACTATCTACAAAGACTCGCCCATAGGATCGATGTATGGTATACAGTATATGCTAACATTTGGGGTATATTGATGGCAAATGTTACCATATATAGCATACATGGATCTTATGGGTTTCAAATACTATCAAAATATTTGTATCATAGTTGAGAATCCGCGTAGTTTGCATAGATGGTGATTATCCAGTTCGCAAACATTCCGCTGAGTCTGGGGGTTTTTCCACACGTAGTCCCCTCACACGTCGAGATGGAAGACAGAGTCATCTTTTTGGACCAGTACACCAGCTTGTATGTTTCACATAGAAAACACCAATGAAACATGTGTGTATAGATATATATATATATATAGAGAGAGAGAGACATTTCTTCATCGCTGCAAAATGTGGATTGAATTTGGCCACATTTTAGTAGGAAACATTATGATATATGATTAAAAACTTTGGATTTTCGATTTTTCCTTATCATTTTCAGGTTCACCGACAGTTGGCTTGAGATCTTGGGCAGGCTCCACGACTTAAAACGCCGACTTCAGGGCCGAAGACCTCCGAGGCGCTGGCGTCTGACAAATAGTTATTGCGGTGAAAATTATATTATAATGTTTTTTCTCGAACGCGTAGCAAGGGTTCCCGTTTCACTCTGGAGGTCTGGGGGTTGAGGGTGTGTTCGCTCGACGTTGCGTTCACGATCGCAACCGTCCGCAACTGTTCGCAACCGTCTGTGCGATCCCCGTATGGCCGTGCCGATGGGAAGTTCTGCAGAGGTGGTTATTTTTGGAGGTCTCAGACGTGTCGTTGCTTCGTTCCGCGTGGCAAGTGTGGCACTTCGGGGTATTCAGACGTGTTTTGCAGTGTGTTGAACATCGTTTTGCGTGGCGGGCGCAATATTTTTGTGACGTTGTCAGAAAATGTGTTGCAGTTTTCGTGGCAGGTGCAGCACTTTGGACGTGTCCATTGTCATTTTTTGTGGCAGGCGCAACACTTTCAGACGTGTCCTGTTGCGTGTTTTTGGTAAATCATGGGCAGGGCTGCGTCAAGTGGTGACAAGGTGCAAATTCCGTGGCCGGCGTGGCATTTTCTGACATGTGCTGAACATTGACGGATGCTTCGCACGAAACATCGATTTTGAGGTTGCAAATTTTCAGGTCCTAAGAAAAAATCGTCGAAAAACGTCAATTTTGAAGCTGCAAATTGCCAAAGTAGAAGGATGTCTCGTACGAAATGCTCGTTTTGGTGCGCAAGACGTGTCTCATCTCGAGTCTCTGGTTTTTCAGTGGCTTCGTCGTGTCTATGGGGGAAGCTGCAAAACCTGTCTTTTCGCCGTGTCTATGGGGGAAGCCGCAAAACCTTGTCATGTGGTTGTGCGTGACAGGCGTGGCACTGTGTGACATTCCAACTTGTTTGATGACGTGTCAAAAATGTCAAAATTGGAGGATGTCTCGTATGAAATGGTGGTTTATCTGCGTCCACGTGTCTTTTCGAACTCCACACTTTACACTCCACAATCTACACTTTACACTCCACCCTTGACACCCCACACTCCACACTTGACATTTTACACTCCAAACTCCAGTCTACACACCACATTCTACACTTTCCATTCCACATTTCGCACGCTACACTTTACACTCCTCACTCCATACTTTACGCTCCGCAGTCCACACTCTACACTCATACTCCCCACTTTACACTCCACACTCCACACTCTACCTTCCACTTCACATTCAGCACTCCACACTGCACACTTGACTGTGCATTCCACACTCCACACTTTATACTTTACACTCCTCACTCCACACTCTACACTTTACATTCGTTACTTTCCACTTCACGCTCCACACTTCACACTCTACACACCACACTTGACACTTTCCGTTTCAGAGTCCGCACTCTACACTTTACGCTCCACACTCCACACTTTACGCTTCACGCTTTACACTCCACACTCCGCACTCTAGACTCTACACTGCACACTCTGCACTTCACACTTTGCACTCCTCACTCCACACTCTACACTTTACATTCCGCACTCCATACTCCACACTGCACACGCCACACTTTCCACTACACTCCATACTCTATACTTCACACTCTACACGATACATTCTACACTCGACACTTTACACTTGACACTCCACGCTTTCCACTTTACTCTCCTCACTCCATACTTTACACTCTACACTCCACACTCTACACTTTACACTCCATACTCCACACTCTACACTTTACACTCTGCATTCTACACTTTACACACTCTATGCTCCCCACGTCACACTTTACGCTCCACACTCCTTACTACACTCCAGATTCCACACTCTACACTTTCCACTTCACACTGCAGACTGGTAACAAGGGAAACATGTACAAGACTGTTTAAATAAACTATTGCAGAAAGGTATTGTGCGTGATCGCATAACCATGTGTTTTGACATCTGTACCATTAACATACGTGTGAGCATTCGGGTTCGTGGGTTTCATCTTGTGTTTTAAATGAAAAATGAATCATTAGCTCAGTATGATGTTTTGAATATATAGTGTTTGCCGTTTTTACTTTTGATATACAACTCAGCACGTATTAAATTGATTTCATAGAAACCAGAATCTATCGAGGGGCAAAATTGCAAAGTCAGACATGATTTTTGGCTATTCCATGATTTTTCGGAGAAGAAAACAGATAATTATATGCTGCGGAACAAAAAACAACGAAAGAAAAATATGCGCTGTGGAATGGCCGTGCAATAGACATGTTTTGGTTCCGCTGCGAAAAGCATAGACATGTTTTGGTTCTGCTGGAGATGGAAGCACGAAACAAAACAACATTATTCAGATATGCAATTTTCTTAGCATGATCGACAGTGCTCCAAATCTAGTGTAGTCTTTGCCAACAGCGTTATTGTCGGGGTCCTATTCGAACTTATTGAAACAATAATTGCTGATTGATCTGATAAGTAGACATGGGCAGGCTTTCTCCGAAGTCATGCCGGAACCTCAGGGCTTTGTTGATGAGGTACCTGGTGATTTTTCACAGTTTGCCTTTGAAAATTGAACTGGACATCTATGGAAGATCTAGAAAAATGCGGGGGCATCATCGAAGGAGAATGGAGAATTGAGCTGCGGAAATGACCCAACAGTGTATGGATGTCCGTGGATGTCCGTGGTAATTGGTTACAGATAACGAACTGGAAAATCACCATTTTGCACAGGTCAATTATGGAACTAAAGGGCAATGTTCATCCATTTTCCATGGCGTTGTTAAACGTTCCACTCTTTAGTTCCACGAGTTAGTTGCAGCTATTGAACATGGTGAGTTTCCATAGCAGAATGTTAACAGATTGTAACCGCCAGAAACCTCTGATTTTGGAGGGTCCATGGAACCGAGAAAGACAATTTTCAGGGTTAGTATATGGTTAGCATATGTTGATGATCCGCGCAGCATAATATGGGATATGGCCAACATCTAATCCATGTTTAAATAAGACCAGGTCGGATGTGCAGGTCCTAAAATTTGGAGTTTGCCCGCAATTTTTCATGCGGAATTTCAATCTCTGAACCCTTGGCAGTGCCACCACATATTCCAATTGCCTTGCAGCCATTAAACCACAAGACATTAGTATCGACTTGAAGGGGGCGCGCATGAATTCTTCGTTTGCGTGCGTGTACTGTTTCAGCGAGCAGCGCTACCGTTCTCTTGCTGAGCTTGGTAAAACCGTGCTGAATGGCATTGAGTTTGGGCAAACTTTACAAGATCGAGTGAATGAGTTTCGTGGGCGCACAACTGAGCACCCCCAATTTAAGAAATTCATCGGGCGGCGCGGGAAGCCCTTCAGTGGGGAAGATGCATGTTTGGACTTTCTGAATAGACATTTGACGTTATTTTCTTCGGTTGAGCAATTGGAATTTGTTTTGCCACTTGAATTTGCTGGAGCTTTGCATGAGGAAACTAAGCTGGCCACTGTCCATCCTTATTTGGCAAAAATCGGGGAATGCCTGCGGATATGCCTCTTGAATCGAGTAGAGCGGGTCGAGAATGAGGCGGTCAACTTTCAGGCTGGCTCCAAGCGTGGGATCACGAGGCCACAGTTAGAGTAAGGACGTCAGGGAAGAGCTTTGAACCGTGGCAGCAGACACTGCGTGTGGCGCGTGCTTTGGTAAAACAAAGCCTGGAGAGGCATGTGAAAAGACGGCGGGTCGAAGATTTTGTAAATGGGACAAGTTGGCGGCGCCCTCTGCGCTTGCATGTTCTGTCGCGTGCTTTTCAATCCCTTTGGGGCAAAGAACCCCAAGCTGCTATTCCACTACTGTCCTCTGGTTACTTGAAGCTACGCGTAGCCCTTCGTTTGTTCCAGCACAATGGAGAGGTGGATCCACGCAAGTTTTGCTTGAATGAGGTAGAGGTCGACGGGGATGCTGGGCATTGGGCGCTTCAGAGAAAGTTGCTTTCCACGGAAAACACACGCAAACAGTACTTCGTCAATGGTGCCATTTTGCCCCTACGTGTTTCGGCCGTATCAACGTGCCTCCTGCTGAACCTTCATGATCTCTCCCCTTTGTTCGACCCCGTGCAACTGGAAGTAGCCAAAAATTTGACAAGCGTTGACGCCACAGGTGCCTTTGAGGATTACATTCGAAGCGCCCTGCGCGCAGTTATGTTCATTCACACAACGCGCAGGTATGAATATTCTTCGTGTCTAATTGGGTGCAAGCTCTTGGAAGAGGCAGACTTGGTGGCAATTTTGGGCAGGCAGCATCTCTGCTCTGAGTCGTTGCGTCGTCGCTTGACAAGCGAAGGCCGGATTCCGCTTGGGCAATCGTCGGTTGTTGCGGTAATGTTAGGCCGTTCGAACATTTTGGGAACCCTTCCCGGGAGGGAGTATCATGATGTTTTTGAGCAGTGCGTTGGCTTTGTGATTGATGCTTTCGATGAACATCGCCAACCCCGACCAGAAATTACTGACAACATAGTCCTGGACAAAGTTTGGGCGTCCATGAGGTGCATCGCTGGGTTCGGCGCCGCTGGGAACGTTGCGGAGGATGATGGAGCTTCAAGGTGCAAAGAGAAGCTTGGTGGCTTCATATTGAAAAATATAGTTTATCAAGGGTTGCGAATGTTATTGATGCAACTGGGTGTGCCTTGGGGAAGTTCACACACGTTAATGGCTGGGCCAAACCCAATCAAACTCCTTCAGCTGATGTGCGGGGGCGAAGGGATTTTGCGAGAGCATGCTGCGCAGCTGTGGGAGGCAGTGCTTCAAGACTGTTCAGGGTGCACCGTTTCATACTGTGGCAGGTCCGCACCTGTTGACGGTCTGGATTTTCCAGCTGTTCAGGACAACTTGTGCAAGGTTACAGAAATGTTACAAAGCACAACAACTGGAAGATTGTTTGGAAAAGGACGGCAAAAGGCTTTGCGGGCATTGGATGTGGAGATGGGACATTCAGGCAGCGAAGAGGAGTCTGAGGACGCATCGGGAAGTTGATCAGACCAGCTGTGTCAAATAAATGGAATGGGCACGTCTGAACCCCATCCAGATGAAGTATCGCTAGCCTTGTTTCGGATATGCTTTTTTGGAGACGAGAAAACAGTTGCATCCTTGGTACCTTTCGGCCAGCAGCTGTCACCGTCAGCAACGTTGAGGACTTGCGTTCTCGGGTTTTCATTGCCAAAGTTTTTTGGACCATGAATTGGTATATTGCCAGCCAGGGCCACGATGTGTCTGCAATTACCTGAGCCAATTTATGGCAGTTTTTACCGTATTTTTCCAAGCCAAGATTTGGTTAAGACCAAGTGTTGAATGCTGCGCATATCCGGCCACGGTATTATATGTTCATTTTGCTTTAGCATTTTTTGTCTCAATCTTTACAAGTCAGTCCAGCTGCTTTGGGCTGTCGGAGACAAGGTATTTCTTTGTTCCCGAGGCTGCAGCAACTTGTGCCAGATTCTGTGTCTCAAAGCTGTCTCCAGTTCATTCTAGTAAATGTTGCACTGCGTGTTCAGCACAAAATCTTGGAGCAGCCTGCGAACTCTTACAATGACTTTACAGCACGCTGTAGATGTTCAGATTTTCGAATCTGCGCCAGAATTCCTTCGGTCCTTAAATTCTGGCTCTTGTCCACTGGATGGGAGGTGCTGGTGCATCTCAGAGACTGGGAGATACTTAGTTTGGAATTCTCAACAGGTTGGAAGACCATGGCTGACTTCGGCATGACGGACTGTCGCAACCAAGCGCGCTCCTCCGTTTTGATTGGCCACAAATCAGATTCAGTATAGGGCTTGCACATTCAAATGGCGTTTTGAGCGCCTTTGCCAAGGGAGATTGTTTGAAGACGCAGCATGTGTTACGTCGTCGGGTTTACGATAGATGCTGCCATTTCTGAAGTCAAAGCATATCATATTGAGTGGTCAAAACACTCTCTTCTCTGTGAGTGTCAGGAGCTACGGTAGTGGCACAGCGTTTCCTGGTGTACTTCCAAGATGATGTAGACCAAACATAGAGCAACAATGCAACGTTGCTTGAGTTTTGCAAATTCCATTGAACAGGTGTTGTTGCCATGCGCCGACAGCTTGTTTCCATACTCGCAGAAAAGCTCCAACTCATGGTCTCTGATTGGCAGTTCGCAGTTCTAGTGACATCCAAGTGACGTCCACCCTTGTCAAGGTTGCTTGACACCTGACGACCTGGAAATCGTGGACACAAGCAGCATCAGTGGCAATGTGTGCAGAGATGTGTGCCCTGCCTTCCAGAATATTCCAGAATACTCTTTGTTGACAGAGCGCGTGCATGTGCAGTTAGCATCCTGTAGATTTGTGTTGAAGCTTAGGACAAGCTGACACAGCGACGTTTTACATGCAATTCCTAAACCTAGCTTGTTTGATTGTTCCCATTGCCCACCAAGATTGGACGGCTTCGCTTGACAGCCACCTTTGAACATCGTAGCTGTTTCCATGTCAAAACGCTATTTTTGAGTCCTGTTTCCTCCCTGTTTCTTGGGTGGTTGATATTCAGATCTCGTTGCGTTGCAAGAGAAGCTCTATTTTGCCAACCATCTTTCCGTGAAGGCGTGTCTTTCATTGGGCCCGGATTCCAGAGAAACCAAGTGTTGAATGCTGTGCATATCCGGCTACAGAATTTATGTTGATTTTGCTTTAGCGATTTTTCTCTCGACCTTGGAGTTTGTGTCTCTTGGGGCTTGCGATGGAGGCTGCCATTTCTGAAGTCAAATCATATCATATTGAGTGGTCAAAACACGCTCTTCTCTGTGAGCGTCAGGAGCTACGGTAGTGGCACAGCCGCTCAGGAATGATGCATTTCCTTTTCAGGCATGTTTCCTGGTGTACTTCCAAGATGATGCAGACCAAACATAGAGCAACAATGCAACGTCGCCTGAGTTTTGCAAATTCCATTGAACAGGTGTTGTTGCCCTGCACTGACAGCTTGCTTCCAAATTCGCAGAACACTTTCAACTCATGGGCTCTCGTTGTTAGATCTAGTGATTCAAGGTTACTGGACACCTGACGACCTGGAAATCGTGGACAGAAGTAGTCTCAGTGGCAATGTGTGCAGAGATGTGTGCCCTGCGTTTCAGAAAAGGCTTTGTTGAGAGAGTGCGTGCATGTGCATTTAGCATCCGGAAGGTTTTTCGCGAAGCTTGTTCTGCTGCAGACTTAAAGCAGAAGTAAAGTGCACCTTGCAGCAAAAGCAAACAGTGGTTGCAGTGCTCACCTGGCGAAGCCAAGAGGAAAGTCAAGGGCTTGCCACATCATACTGAAAATTCCGCTAGATGTTTCCGTCCTACCAAAGACACCTTTGCAGCCTGTGCAATCAACTAATTCTCTGGGTCCAGTGACGGAAGCCGCCCATGTTCAGTGCAGGCCATGGGATCATGCCTGTTCACCGGAGCGAAGTTAAAGCGCACCTTTTGCAGGGGTCACCCTGCTCACAAGCCAAATGCCCAGTGAAGGGCTTGGAGCCAATCACATGTCACGACATAGTTCAGGTTTTGCAAAAAAGTTGGGATGGAAACACCAGAAACACCTGTGCATTCACCAACTAATACTCCTTTGAAAAGTGTCCATTCATCGAAGCTGCCCATGTTCAGGCTGCCAGAGAAACAGTTTGCGTGGTTTCAATGGTGCAGCTGCTGAGTAGGGTGCAATCAGTGCAGGCCATTATTTTTCAAAGGCAGACATCCATCTTGGGGACATGCCTCTTGACTGGCAGAGCGGACGTAAAGTACACCTGGCATCGCACCAAAGGCAAAAAGTTGTTGCAGTGGTCATCATGCTCAGAAGAGGAATTGCCGTCTCCCGCGTTTCCAGGAAGATGCCAGCATGTGGCATAGTTACTTGTGCAGGGCTCTTTTCGACCCTAAAATTCGTGCATGAATGAAAAGGCCATGCTGGCAAGCCCACCATGTCTCCACCTTAATGTTTGCGTATCTCGTCAACAATTCCCTTGCAAATTGCGTGCAACATGCACAAAGATAGGGCCCAAGATAGCCCGTGCTCATGGCACCGTTGTAGGTTTGAGAGACTGCCGTGAAACAGTTGCTTGCTCGCCCCGATGCTCCAGATGTGTCGTGGTATGGCGTGATTGCTTTGGCCTTCTACCTACATGAAAGAAACACTGCTGAGGCAGGTTGTTATCGAACTGTTCCGCACCGCAAGACCTGTTTGAGTTGAAGAGAGTGCCTTCAGCGTGTCATCATTGTGCCATGGGTATGTTGACGGGTTACATCTTGCATGAATGCTGGAGGCGGATTGCCTGCCTGTCATGCATGTAGGAAAAGCCTGTGCTCGGTAAGTGTTGAGACAGCATGAGACGGTATGAGACGGCATGAGGTAGCATGAGATGGCATGAGATATGAGATGGCAGTTTTTCCCATATTTTTCCAAGCCAAGATTTGGTTAAGACCAAGTGTTGAATGCTGCGCATATCTGGCCACGGTATTATATTTTCATTTTGCTTTAGCATTTTTTGTCTCAATCTTTACAAGTCAGTCCAGTTGCTTTGGGCTGTCGGAGACAAGGTATTTCTTTATTCCCGAGGCTTCAGCAACTTGTGCCAGATTCTGTGTCTCAAAGCCGTCTCCAGTTCATGCTAGTACATGTCTCACTGTGTGTTCAGCACAAAATCTTGGAGCACCCTGCGAACTCGTACAATGACTCTACAGCATGCTGTGGATGTTCAGATTTTCGAATCTGCGCCAGAATTCCTTCGGTCCTTAAACTCTGGCTCTTGTCCACTGGATGGGAGGTGCTGGTGCATCTCAGAGACTGGGAGATACTTAGTTTGGAATTCTCAACAGGTTGGAAGACCATGGCTGACTTCGGCATGACGGAATGTCGCAACCAAGCGCGCTCCTCCGTTTTGATGCAACGTCGCCTCTTCGCAAAAAATTGCGTCAAACCCAAGTGCTACGCGAGACATGGCAAGCGATCGCAGAATACAGAAAAAAACACACGGGCCAAACCATGACCAGCGAAAAAGAAGGTACACACGAGGTTGCAATCCCAAAAGACATGGAGCAAAAGCCACCACCACAAAAGCTGTATGTGTACTCATGCCCTTTTTGCCAAAAATCTGTTACTACGTCAATTGTTTCCGGACATGTCAACCACCGACGCGTATGTGGGAGACAATTTCGCGTGCAGGATGGCCTTCTTCGACCGACGCTGCCGGCAACGCGCTTTTCGCACATATGCCCTACTTGTGGAACCTGCGTCCAGAGCACCAAAGAATTTGGGCGAATCCAAAGCAAACACAAACAATCCAATGGCCGCGTGTGCCCCCGAACGGAATGGCATGCACAGTAACAACAAACGACCAGTTCCGGCTTGCTTGTCTGCTTCAGCTCTCAGCATGAAAACTTTCTGCTCCTGCTGCTGTTGCGGCAAAAGCTTCTGCTGCTGTTATTGCTGCTGCCGCGGGTCGTCTATTTGCTGCTGTTACTTTTCCTCCTGCTAGCAGGCAAAAAACTTCGATGGTGTTGCCTGCGGTTGCTTGCACTACAACAGCTTCTACCAAATCGCACACACCATGGCTCTGAAGGACGATCTAGTTCCAAAAACCACGCCAAAAAAGTGCCTAACGTCCCGTCTGAAATCCCAGAAAAACAACTTTTTTCGAGAATTTCTGTTGCCTGCGGGCGCTCGCAGGAAAACAACTTCGAAAAAAGCAGCTCCCGGCAGGAAAACACCATGGCTCTGAAGGACGAACTAGTTCCAAAACCACGCCAAAAAAGTGCCTAACGTCCCTTCTGAAATCCTAGAAAAACGACATAAAACAACAAAAAACAACCTTTTTCGAGAATTTCTGTTGCCTGCGGCCGCTCGCAGGAAAACAACTTCGAAAAAAGCAGCTCCCGGCAGGAAAACACCATGGCTCTGAAGGACGAACTAGTTCCAAAACCACGCCAAAAAAGTGCCTAACGTCTCTTCTGAAATCCTAGAAAAACAACCTTTTTCCGAAAACAACTTCGAAAAAAGCATAAAAGCAGCCCCCGGCAGGAAAACACCATGGCTCTGAAGGACGAACAACCTTTTTCGCAGGAAAACAACTTCGAAAAAAGCAGCTCCCGGCAGGAAAACACCATGGCTCAGAAGGACGAGCTAGTTCCAAAACCACGCCAAAAAAGTGCCTAACGTCCCGTCTGAAATCCTAGAAAAACAACCTTTTTCGAGAATTTCTGTTGCCTGCGGCCGCTCGCAGGAAAACAACTGCGAAAAAAGCAGCTCCCGGCAGGAAAACACCATGGCTCTGAAGGACGAGCTAGTTCCAAAACCACGCCAAAAAAGTGCCTAACGTCCCGTCTGAAATCCAAGAAAAACAACCTTTTTCGAGAATTTCTGTTGCCTGCGGCCGCTCGCAGGAAAACAACTGCGAAAAAAGCAGCTCCCGGCAGGAAAACACCATGGCTCTGAAGGACGAACTAGTTCCAAAACCACGCCAAAAAAGTACCTAACGTCCCGTCTGAAATCCTAGAAAAACAACCTTTTTCGAGAATTTCTGTTGCCTGCGGCCGCTCGCAGGAAAACAACTTCGAAAAAAGCAGCTCCCGGCAGGAAAACACCATGGCTCTGAAGGACGAACTAGTTCCAAAACCACGCCAAAAAAGTGCCTAACGTCCCTTCTGAAATCCTAGAAAAACGACATAAAACAACATAAAACAACTTTTTTCGAGAATTTCTGTTGCCTGCGGCCGCTCGCAGGAAAACAACAAACATAAAAGCAGCTCCCGGCAGGAAAACACCATGGCTCTGAAGGACGAACTAGTTCCAAAACCACGCCAAAAAAGTGCCTAACGTCCCGTCTGAAATCCTAGAAAAATAACATTTTTCGAGAATTTCTGTTGCCTGCGCCCGCTCGCAGGAAAACAACTTCGAAAAAAACATAAAAGCAGCTCCCGGCAGGAAAACACCATGGCTCTGAAGGACGAACTAGTTCCAAAACCACGCCAAAAAAGTGCCTAACGTCCCTTCTGAAATCCTAGAAAAACAACCTTTTTCCGAAAACAACTTCGAAAAAAGCATAAAAGCAGCTCCCGGCAGGAAAACACCATGGCTCTGAAGGACGAACTAGTTCTAAAACCACGCCAAAAAAGTGCCTAACGTCCCGTCTGAAATCCTAGAAAAACAACCTTTTTCGAGAATTTCTGTTGCCTGCGGCCGCTCGCAGGAAAACAACTTCGAAAAAATCACCTCCCCGGGGGGAAAACACCAGGGCTCTGAAGGACGAGCGAGTGCCAGAACCACGCCAAAAAAGTGCCTAACGTGTCGTCTGAAATCCTAGAAAAATCTAGATTAGATTTTTGGTAGGCTGCTGGCTACTGGCTGCTGGCTACTGGCTGCTGGCTGCTACTGGCGCTGGCTGCTAGCTACTGGCTATGTGCACCTTTTGCGTGCTCTTGCCCACGTTCTTGACACCCATTAGTGCCATCCTAGAAAAACACAATTTTTCGTGCTGCTAGCTGCTGCACTGCTACCATTGCGCTTACTGCTGCTGCGTCTGCTTGTGTCTGCTGCTGCCTGCTGCTGCCTGCTGCCTGCTGCTGCCTGCGGGCAGCTCCCCTTTGCGTCGGCCGGTCCCGTCTGAAATCCCAGAAAAACAACTTTTTTCGAGAATTTCTGTTGCCTGCGGCCGCTCGCAGGAAAACAACTTCGAAAAAAGCAGCTCCCGGCAGGAAAACACCATGGCTCTGAAGGACGAACTAGTTCCAAAACCACGCCAAAAAAGTGCCTAACGTCCCTTCTGAAATCCTAGAAAAACAACCTTTTTCGAGAATTTCTGTTGCCTGCGGCCGCTCGCAGGAAAACAACTTCGAAAAAAGCAGCTCCCGGCAGGAAAACACAATGGCTCTGAAGGACGAACTAGTTCCACAACCACGCCAAAAAAGTGCCTAACGTCCCGTCTGAAATCCTAGAAAAACAACCTTTTTCGCAGGAAAACAACTTCGAAAAAAGCAGCTCCCGGCAGGAAAACACCATGGCTCTGAAGGACGAGCTAGTTCCAAAACCACGCCAAAAAAGTGCCTAACGTCCCGTCTGAAATCCTAGAAAAACACCTTTTTCGAGAATTTCTGTTGCCTGCGGCCGCTCGCAGGAAAACAACTGCGAAAAAAGCAGCTCCCGGCAGGAAAACACCATGGCTCTGAAGGACGAACTAGTTCCAAAACCACGCCAAAAAAGTACCTAACGTCCCGTCTGAAATCCCCCGGCAGGAAAACACCATGGCTCTGAAGGACGAACTAGTTCCAAAACCACGCCAAAAAAGTGCCTAACGTCCCGTCTGAAATCCTAGAAAAACAACATTTTTCGAGAATTTCTGTTGCCTGCGCCCGCTCGCAGGAAAACAACTTCGAAAAAAACATAAAAGCAGCTCCCGGCAGGAAAACACTATGGCTCTGAAGG